GACAGACAGGTGGGACGCCAATCCCATCAGGGAGTTGGTTAGTCTGTCCCGCAGGGCCCACCTCTGTCTACTGAGTGGGCCATGATTGGATGATATGATTCTTTAAGTCAGATGGATGGAATGCTTGAGGCAGAAAACAGTAGAAATGGGTCGAGAGAGAGAAGGGGAAAAAGAATGTGACACACCAAAAAAAGACTGTAAAATGAAACCTGAGAGCGAGAGAGATGGATGGATGGTATAGCGGGGTGAAAATATACATCCGAGAGAAAATGATAGAGAAAATCTGACACGGTAAGAGATAGGCGGAAGACAGAGGGGAACAGTAACTGTAAATTCAGACAGATGAGTTGGCTTGGAGGGGAATGAATATGGATCTAAACAAATTACTTAGCCGAGGGAGATCACCGGTAAATGGAAGGGGGTGCTGAGCTTAGGGACTAGTGGGTAGGTTTCAGGAAAGAAAAGAGAGACGTAATAAACTTCTCATTCTGTATATTGAGTATTATGTACCATCAAAACCATGAAAAAGAAAGTTTTTAGGATATGCTTGGGCTTTTATTGTAGTTAGAAGATTTAGGCTAAAAGAGAAGGAAGGAAAAGTGTGTTTGTGTATAGACAAATATGCACACACACAGACACACATATATATATGTATATAGATAGATAGATAGATAGATAGATAGATAGATAGATAGATAGATAGATAGATAGATAGATAGATAGATAGATAGATAGATAGATAGATAGATAGATCTTTTATATGTGTTTTTCTAATAAAAAATGTATAAGACAGCAACAGTTGACATAAAAAGTACACAGTTAGTGGAACTACAAAAAGTTGTGCGCTCATGTCCATCACACTGAGATATGATCATCAATTAACCTCCATAGAAAAGGTTAAGATGAAACATGTCATTTTCTCTGGAGCAAACTGGAGGTCTGTGGGTCATAGGTTCCTGCATGTATAATGTTACATTTTAACTGTAGGGCACATCATTAAAAGTCAGACTATGTGCATATGGTAAATACCCTGTCAGGGAATTTAAATGAGGACTGAAAGGATCAACTTGTAGTGATGGAGTGGCTTGAGATTACATTTGGTGTGTGTTGAAATGGAAAAAAAAGTGTATTTGAGAAAATAATGTTTTTCATTTCTCTTTACTTTTTTGTATTTGAAGATGATAAAGTTTTTTTAGGCCAAATCTTTCAACAAGTACTAACTGCTGAGAGCTACACTTTTGCTTTCTCTCTGTAACTTTTCCCTCTGCTGTTTCTCCACTCTGCTTTTACCGCCCCTCTCTGCCACTTCAATTCTGTTTTTACTTTGCTCTCCCTCTGGTTCCCGCTCTTGCTTGTCCTGCTCTGTAGTACCTAAGAGTCTTTCTCAGAAACAAAGAGATTAAAACCATTCTTCAGTGTCTTTAAACCTCCAACTCAGCTGTTTACTTGTAAAGCACGATACACTTGTTCTGTGTGTGTGTCTTTACTTCAGAGTTTTGTATTTATGTGTCCGGGGTCAGCTTTGTATTTGTGTATGTTCATTAATTGTTAAAGTCCCTTCATATGAATTAATAAGTAAGATGACAGGGCATCTCTTATGTTGAAACATGAAAAGAATAACAAAGTTCAACGGCATTTATTCTTATATGATGCTTACCACCACATTCATTAGAATGTTTCAACATTTTGTGGGCTCAATTTCTCTTTGGGAACCTTTACAATGTCATGAAAAAAATCTCTGTGTGACAGAATATTGTATTGTTCAAATGATTATTGATTATTGAAGTAATCTCTTATAAATTCTTAATGATAAAAATTATTATTAACATATTGGAGAAAATAGAGCGCATGTGCGAGTACAGTTCTTAGAAAAATACACACAAAAGATTTGAAGAGTATGCCTTTTCTTTTTAGATGCACCTTTTCTTCCTCTTCATGCAAAGTTATCTACATAAAATATTCCTAACTTGATCAAATGTGACTGAAGCCAATAAGCAGAATATTACAGTGACCATTGCTCCACATGAGTTTGCAGCCGTAGAAAATTGAATGACCCAATTGGACTGCAACCTGGAACAGCAGTTAAAGAAATACAACTTAAGGAGAAAATTAGTTTCAGTTGCGCAAAAGCTGAAGCAGCTGACGGTGGGTTTGTGTGTATCTCAAGTGGGAATCAATGAAAATAGGTTCAATCGTTGTAATATGCATATTAGGAAATGTGTTTTATTATATTACATCATTAGTTCAGCATCGTCTCTCTATTCTTTGGCTTTTTTTTGGGTCGATCAAGAACTTTTGCATGTGGCTTTTCAATTCCAAAATCACCTCCATGAAAAAACAACCACGGAATTTACACATTACTGTCAAAGAGGATAAGCATCTATTCATTATCTGGTGGCTTTACATGAGGATTGCTTCATCGAGCCGTTGACGCATTTGTAAACAGTTAAAATCGCTGTTGAACCAGAAGGAATAGGAAGAATCTTTCAAAAGACATTCCTCACCCTGTCACTTACACTGACGCATCCCCAGCTGTCTGTAGGTTTGTCTAGCTCTGCCAGTCGTCATATTTAATTCTTTCTGTAAGTGTCAGAGAAAAGAACAGCTCAGATACACAGTTCAATATTTCCTGCTATACTCTGGTCATTTTCAAGCTGTGATCACAACGCTGACATATCTAAGTTTGAATGGAGAAGATGTTGGCCTACACAGGAGATATTTCAAGACATTAAGGTTATGTCATTATTTTCAAATTAAATAACATTTTGTTTTTTGGCATTTTGAAATTTAGTTTACAAAATATTTTGCTTTATGGTCTTGATTTTTCGTCCGTTTTTCTGTGGGTTTTTTTGTAAGAAATCTGCTAAATCAATAGTGAAAGCTGAGTTTTCTTGTGTTTTGTCTTCTTTTGTACATCCAATTCTTTTTTTTCCAGTCACATAAAATGTAATAATTGCAAACTGCTTTGCTTTTCCTGCTTAAAAGTTTCAGAACTATTTCCCAAAAATCATCCGGTTGACCTAATATTGATGTTCCAAAATGCAACGTCTCCCCGTGGGTTTTTTCTGTGGGTGCAGAGGAAAATCAACTCTATGGTGTAAATAAAAGATATCGACAATTGTCACAGTTCTATACTCTCCCTTTTACCTCAGCCTCCCCTCATTGGAAACCAAAGACTGGTGCAGTTACTGTGAAGTTTTCACAGTAATTTCTACCTGGAAAATTAGAGGGGGAAAAAAAAGATTATTTTGAAAAATAGTTTGAGGCAGCAACAGTCGTACATTCCTTTGATGTTAACAAGCGGTAAATCAGGTTTCAGAGAGGGAGGAAGATGAAGACGGAGACGTTCCAAGGAGTTGGTGGGGGGGGGGGGGGGGGGGAAAAAAAAAGAAGGGGGGGGGGGGAGAGGGGGGGAGGGGGGGGGGGGGGGGGGAAGAGGGGAGGGGGGGGCAGTGGAGACAAAAGCAGGAGTGGGGGTCAAGAGAGGACAGCGGTGGATTTGGGATGACAATATAAAGCGAGGTTAAAAAGTATGGAAAAAAAAGATAAACTGAAATGGAGCAAAGAGGAAAAAGGGGTTGGGCACCTTTCCTTTTATGTTGGGGTTGCAGAAGAAAAAAAAAAAAAATTATAAGATGGGGGCAGAAAAGGAAGAAACAGTTCAGTCCTGATGTATGAAATGTTAAAAGCTTGACATCAAAAGGCTGGTAAGGAAACCAGAAGGAAATGTTGCTCTTAATGAAATGACTGTTGGTCTCATGATATCATGCGAAGTTTACCTGGGAAATGGTGAAACCTCAGTTCCTCTGCAATCACACAAATACCTCAACAAAGGGCTGGAGATGAAAGGTTGACAACTGTTTTTTTTATTTTTATTAAGGTTTCTCCCTCACCATCTTCAAGGCCGAACTATGAGGCATGTCATTTCAACACAGCCAGGCTTTCTTTTGTTGGTTGGCTTGAAAAATCCAATGGAAAAATGAGAAATCATAGGTATTTCAACATTAGTTCTGGTGGTTGTATCAGTTATTAAGACTATATTCCATTTTGTTTCAAGTTTTTCTTCAAAGGTACATTTCTGTGTCACTGTCAAGCCCAGTCCCAGTCCCATTTAGTAAAATGCAAAAAATACAAAAAAACAACACAAAACAAAGGTCACTAATAAAACACATTCCACCTTTCAAACCACTGAACTCCTGCAAATTTGGATCAAATTTTGTGTACAACACTCTCCAGTGTTGTACACAAAATTTACAACACCTCTAGCATGATGAACCCCAGTAAAGTGTTAACAGCTGACACTATATTAAAAATGTTTGCTCAACATCTTTTCACTTTGAGAAATAACAAACAGTTAAACAGACAAAAAAAAGCCTTTTTTAAAGGGAGAGAAAAATCTCATTTAAAACAAAATTCCTTTTTTAAACATCATTTTAGTTTCTTTGTCATGTTGTTTATAGTCATACTCCTTTCCTTGTAAGGCTTCTTGAAATAATAACGCAGTGAAAACAGGCAGTGAAACACTGGTAAAATTGCTCTGATAGACATGGATAATATCATTTCTGACCGGTTGCTTCCTGTAGGAATTTCAAGTAATTTTTCCGCTTTTGTGAGAGCCATTGGGTCGGTTTCTACAACGGAATTACAGTCGACAATATCCCTTGAAGTGGCCGCATGCTGATAACACCCACATCTCAGAGAGAGTGAAACCTCTAATCTGGTTCATTACAGTTGTTAAGAACATTTTCCAAATCAAAATCCACCCTCTTTATATGACCACTTAGTGATCTCTAAAGAATTTGATTGTGAAGCAGCAATCTTTGGAGACGAGCTTAACGTTGAGTTTGGAATTGGTTCAGCAAAGCATTTTGATAAAAGAGACAAAGAAAGAATATGCATCAGACATACATGTAAATGTGTTAGAAAATACAGGCAATGAAACACTGATTACATCGAATGAATCAGAAGCTGCTTCAGAAATGAGAAAGTTAGGTCAATAAATGAGGTGCATCGAGGAGGTGTGTCAGAGATATGAAAACTACTGTGGAGGGATCAGAGTGGGCTATGGGAGGGAGAGGAAAATTTTGGAAAAAATCACAGTTAGTACATTCAAATTGAAGCAGGTATTGGAGGAACAAGGAATATGCTTTTCGTTTGAATGTGAATAAAGTGTTATGAATGACAAAACAAAAAAATATGTTGGCATCTAGTAATAACAGCTAAAACTTTCATTAAAAAAAAACACAATAACTAATAACACATATCTATTACCAGGAGAAAAATGTCTAATAGATAGAAATAAAAAAATAAAGGCGACATACCAAAAAAAACCCCAAAAAACAGCGTGCCTAAATTGATATAGATTCAGGGAGAATAAAGGGATTTTTGGGGAGGGGGGGAAGAGATTTTGAAAATACTTCTCCAGTGGAGTGGAGACAGAAAATATGTAAAATACTTTTGAATAGGTTAAAGAAATGTTCTATTGAAGTTGTTTTTGGCAATATTTTTATGAAAATCAATGCACTGGAATTAATTTGGCTTATAGCCTCAGAATGGTGCGTGCTGCACATGCAGACTGCTTCAGATGGGAAAACGTGACAAGAACTTTGATGAAAAGTGCCACTAAAGTGTCAGGAAAACATCGTTGCTGAGTTTTTGAGAAGATGACGAATCATAAAAGCAGTAAGAGAAATTAATCTGATTGTTGAAAGTCCTCAGATGTGGATGTCTATCTGTAAAGAATACAGTGAGTTAGCGAATTATGACTAAGCACATTGTTTCGAGTAACTAAGTTTTCCATATTTTGCTTTGTGTTTTTGTCTATTCAGATTTCCCAAAACTGTGACCAGGTTCTGGTTAACGGGAAGGAGATGCGTGGTCGGGAGTCCCTGGCGGTGAACTTCACCTACCTGCACCTGTCTGCTCAGCTGCAGCTCACCGTCTGGGTACCAAAGCTGCCCCTGCAGATAGACGTGTCCGACACGGAGCTGAGCCAGGTCAAAGGCTGGAGGGTACCCATCGTCGCCAACAAGAGGTAACTCACACCCCCCCCCAACCCTCAAGGCGGAGAGGGAAGGAGTCATTTTGTGGCGGGTGAAAGAGATATGACCCTCTGATTCATGCTGGAAAACCAAGTGCTTATCTCACCCGAGTTTTGTTTCCCTTGCATCATACTTCATTCCTTTGATCATAAACAGAAATACATTTTAGCATTAACTTGCAGAAGAAAAGGCATTTTGTGCAAGGACAAAGCAGTGTTTCTTTTTTTTTTCCTCATCTGAATTCTTGATTTTTTCTTTAGGGTTATCTTTCAGGTACTTTATGAAAACACTCCCAGATAATAAAACAATGCTATGTATCTTCTTTATCAATCAATACCAATTTGAAACATGCACCTGATCATGTATGATGTAAACATATTACATTTAAAAAATATTCCAACTTTAAGACATATTATTCCTGAATGTTTGAATTGTCCCTGTAAGGTGAGGTCTGCCTAAACTAAACAGCTAAAGGTCCACATTTGATAACCTATAACACAACAGTATGTTTACTATCACCAGTTCCCACAAAAAGGCATCAAATGTAATGTATAATTCTAGTGCAGCTTACATGCAGTTATTTTTATGAACACCTATTTTTTGTTGAATAGAGAATATATGAGTGAACAGATGCTTGGAACTAAGCATCGATTCTTCTCTCTCTTTTCATTTTTTCGTATATGTCTGGTTGAATAGACATACTATTCCATGCAACATCTTGTGGGTTTTTAAAGAGATGTACAGATTGCATGTATATATATATTTATCATTTGTCCAATATGCAGCAAGAACTAAATAAAACAATTGTTCAAATAAGGAAATGATTATTCTTGTAAAAATAATTTATTATTCTTTCTGTTTATCTTGTCACCATAATCTTCCTCCTTCTCATAATTATTATTGTCATTGTTATTATTATGTTATTATGATAGCTGGCAAATAAATGTTAGAATTTAACAACATTTCGTATGTGTTGTTACGTTATGTAGCTATAAAACATTTTTTAGCTCTCTATATAGTTGGGAATAAAAACACTGTCATAAAAAAAATCTACATTTAAAACCTGAATTTCCACCACCATAAACATGGAAATTGTTGCCATCTTAATATGGCTTAAAAAAACAACAACAATTAAAAAGATTGAGTAAGCTCTTTCTATACGCAAGCTTAAATGTGTGGTCTGTAATCATATTCTCTTTAGACTTACATTTTTATCAAAACCTACATCCACTGACTTTGAACAAAACAAAAGAGAAGGCTTCTCAGTGAGTTTTACTGTGTGTACATGGCTGCTTGCGTGACTCTGTGTTTGACTGTGTGTATCATGTGGGTGTCCACGATAATTTGTATTTGTGTCTGTGTGTGTGAACGCGCGTTGCTTCTGTTCCCCATTTTTTCCATTTTGCTCTGCTAGGTCTATTTTTCAATTTTGCCAATTTCTGCTCAGATGGCCACCAACTAGTGTGCGCAGACCCACACACACCTCCACCTTTCCCATCTCCCAGAGTAAAACACAGGCACTCTAACGGGCACACACCCGCACACAGTCGCACGTATTACTGAGGCCAGGGGAAATGGAAAGAGGATTCTTGTAATATTACCTGGGTTACACAGGTGCTGGGACAGTTATAAGATGCACAGATGATCCAGTGTGTGTTGGCTAGTCTTTACACAGTAGGAGGAGAAGAAGAAATATGTCACACATTTTTTCCAATGTGCATTTTAGTTAGAATGTTAGGATTCACAGATACAGGAAGCAGAGAAGAGCTTTAAAAAGTTTCAGCCTACCAAGTTTCCATTTAAAGTATTCAAAAGCCTTGAGAATATGTGTATTTTAAAAATCTTATGTTTTATATGGGTATAGGTGGTTGATGTTGCTTTCACTGAACAAAATTCAATTTGGAAAATCCAACGATCCTGATAGGATAGATTCAACTTTTCCTCTTAATGGCAACACCCAGTTCACTTAATGGCCTTATCTTTTCTTATAAGGCCATATTAAGTCAACCCATGAAATGGGTAACACTAATTAGGTGTCCAGTCATATCCAGAGCCACAAATGGGTGATAGGACTGTTTTCACCATGGCCAAATGGACAAGACAGCAAAAGCAAAAACAGTCTTTTTTTTTATTCAATTTTAAAATTGTAAAATGTGGAAAAACCCTTATCACTGTTTTTTATATTAAAGGCTTTTGACACAAGATGTTAGGCTCCAAAAAAGGGAAGAAAAAGCATAATCCCATAGAAAAATATCAGAGGAGGCCCAGTCCCTCTCAGGTCTCAACAAGAAGAGCCCCATGAAACCTACAGAAGCACATAAGCCAGCTATGATCTTGAACCAAATCAGAGTAATCTCTGATTAATTATTATTTTCTATTTTTACCACTATCGTGCAAAATAGCAAGCTCTGGGAAATTGTTTTAAACGTGTATTTTCCCACTGCATAGCACTCATTTGGCCATTTTCCACTCTGCATATATGGTTTGAATGGCTCTAAAAATGTGTATATGGTATTTGTAATCCATACAATGACTTTGTCATCATACGCTCTTTCTTCATTAATTATTCAGCCTAGTTTATTTACTCAAAACTTGACACACAAAAAGGAACACATTCATCTAGGCATTCTGATAAATGTACATTGTGCTCTCACAGTGAATAAAAACTTGAATTAAAGGTGTAACCTGAAGCTGAGATTATATAAGAGATTGGTTGGATCCGAGTGCAGAGTATTAAAAAGACCTTTAATTACCTGATAATGACTGCCTCTTTGTTGTTTTTTTCATCTCATTTATCTCCTATCCTCCCAGACCCACAAGAGACAGTGAGGACGATGAAGATGATGACAGAAAGGGCAAAGGTTGCACCCTACAGGTATCATTTGATTGGATTGCATATTGCATTCTTAAATCAAGTTCTTTAATTATTTTGTATGTCGCTATCCACGAAATAGGGAAGAAAGAAGACTTCTGAATTTATGCTGAGGATGTAATGTGAGTAGAGATAAGAATATGAAGAGACTATATTGTCCTTAACTGGCTTTCTCCTCTCAGTCTGTATGTAATGCATATATATATATATATTTATTGAACTTGTATTAAACTAAATATGTTAAAAGCACAATTGTGAAAAGCCAAACCTGAAGTTGATACTCTCTTCCACATGTCTTCCACTGCTGCTGTTGAAATATTTATAATCCGTACATTTATAATCCACCTTTCAGTCTAAACTTCACTCTAGACTTAACATTACCACGAGACATTTTAAGCAAACTGAACAATCAGAGCAGAGTCGGCCTTTACATTTTATAAGCCTAGTCCTTCAGACCCTCAAAATGTAATTGTGAATCCGTAAATAGACTTGAATACCATTTTTAATTTGGCTCTAATTCCTGACCTCTCTCTTCTCTTCTCAGTACCAGTATGCTTTGGTGCGAGTCCTCACCCATTTTGTGGCCGAGCCCTCTGACCCAGGCGGGGAGATGGTCTACATGCTGGGAACAGACTGGCAGGCTGACATTACTCATTTGGTTTTGGACCAGTTGAAGGTAGGAATACAAAAAAAGTTGCACATATACTCACTGAATGATGTCGCTCAGTCTTACACTATTCAGCATGAGAGCGATAGGGCCGCTCCAGACACAACAAGCTTCCCATTTTCTGGCACCGTCTTTGGTCATTAGTCGCCTTGACTACCGCAACGCCCTCTTAACGGGCCTCTTGGCTTGTGTGATAAAACCGCAGCAGAAGGTCCAGAATGCAGCGGCACATCGGGTCTTAAATCAACCCAGGCAGGCACAAGTTGCCCCTCTGTTCATTGAGCCGTCAAATGCAAAACAATAAATGCTAGCACACAAAGTAATTTCTGGGTCTGCTCCCGTCGTGTGCTAACGGAGCACGGGTAACCCTCTCCACTGTCAAGAAGCTCAGGAAAACTCTTTTCTGACAGTACCGGCTCTAGTCAGTGGTGTATGTAGAAGTCGGTTTTCTAAGTATTGTTAGTTGTCAAGTTGTTATGAGTCATAACAAACTAATCATTACTTATCTCTCCACTACAATTATCTCCCTTTTTTTCCCTGCTGAATCTCATGAGCTGCGCATAACCAACTTAGAGTTCAGCGCTCCCTTTAGCAGACTCCTGGAGTTATAGCTGTTGAAAATCCTTTTAAATGTACTACATTTGAAGTCTCTCGTATCCTTGCAAAGTGCTTTGAATGAATGCATCTGCTAAATACATACATAAGCGTAAAAAGCTGACGTATACATGCCTGTTAAACTTCAGTTTTTTGTTTGCCTAGACTATACATAGATCCATGTGTCAATTACGAGCTGGAACCTTTACTTTGTTTTGTTTTTTCTTCTGTCTATCAAAAAAATAAATAATTCCTAGGTCGAAGATCCTCGTATCGCCAGCCTCATAGATGGACGCATCTTGATAGGACGGGATCTGGGAATCACCACCATACAGGTATGAAGTGACTACAAAGCAAGCGACACAGCCTCTTACTTTTATACTACACAAACTATGTTGGCTAACATAATCTCCAATCACCAATCCATCTCTTCGGATGGCTTTAACATAGAACCTCTAACTGGAACGCTCTCCAGTAGGTAGGACAACAAGTACAGAAACAAACAGCTTAACATTTCTCATGATGTCAAGAGCGGTGTAATTTGGGACTTCACATTGCAGCCATGAGCAGCGGAGTGATGTAAACACTATCCTGTTATCCTTCATTTCCTGGAACGACAAGCTTCCCCCTGCTAGCTTGTTACACAATTAGCCACAATTAACTGTTGGGTATTTGGCCCTGTTATCTAGCTGTGATGCTGAACAATTGTGCGCATACAAACCGAGCCACTTTGGGCACTGGCTTACTTGTGATAAGGCTTTGGAATACTTCTGATATTCTTTACAGTTATGCTGTATGCACTGTGTTTAGCACGAGTTGAAGTCTGAACTGGATCCCAATGACAGCTGTTAAAGGTCTGTCGCGTTGGAGTTAAGTTGGTTGGCACTGAGTTCTGTCTAAAATAGAGGGAGTTTTTTAAGGTTTTGGGAAACAGCTGGGCAGGTGTCATCATCCAGCCAACAGAGGACACGGACACACACGTCGCACAAATCCACAGTCACACACGGCCGGGCACTGTTTGAAAGCCAGGAGAGAGAATTTAACCGGCGTTCCCACCGAGACGCCAGAATTGACAGCTATCATTTGATAGTTTGACATTTCAATTTTTTTCTCCCGCTCAGTTCTGCTGAACTCCCGTTTTCCCGTCATTACCCGTCTCTCTTTCATTTCTCCACTCCTCCGAGCTCTCCTCTTTCATCCCTCTCATTCGGCCTCGGAGAGCAATCCCAGAGATGTCAATCATTGCATTTTTTGTTACCTTACCGAGGGGAGGGGATTGAGTTTGACACCCTGACATGTTCGGCGAGAGACTTTCTTTGTACACCAATCAGATCTGCCTGTCCTTATGTCGCACGGCAGAGGAATACACTACATTGCAGGACTCCTAATCTTTGTCACTGTCTGTCCTCCCTCTCACCAAACGTACCACAGACTTGTTCAGATTCCTTCAACCCCCCCTTCTCATATTCTGTCCTCCTCTATTTGTCATCGTCTCTCCCTCTCTGACACCTGCTCCATTTATTACTCTCTCTTGCTCGCCATCTCCCGTGCACTTTCCTCTCTCTTCATCTACTTTTTTTTGTTGTTTTGGTCTTCTTTCATCTGACCTTGTTGACTCAGTTGAACGCTGACACAAAGAAGCAGAGCGGGGAGGGGGGGGGAGGGCTGACCAAAAACATTGTGTGTGCACAGTTGCTTTAAAGAAAAGGGGCTGGTGATTTAGAGTGTGTTGCGTTGTGTGTTGCAGTTTATTTACACACACCACCGTCATCTGCCTCAGGTCCTAGGTCCTTGCATGAGTGGTTCCTTCACATTACAAGTCTGGGATGATTCAAATCTAATTCCTACAACCTTAGTGTCCAGGCCTCAGTTGAATTTACATCCAATTCGTATCAGAAACAGGTCTGACAAGAGTATGCTCATGTCAGATTCCATACAACTTTTTGCTTTCACACTTGTGCGGTGCACTTTCATTAACCTGCAGCACATCAGAAGCACTGAAAAATATTTTTAAAAAACTAGCAAAACTTCCCCTAGCTCTCCTCCATTTCTTGTCTTGCAAGATTTTTCTAAGCTGCAAGTAGACTATTCATCATCCTTTATGTAAACCACTAATATGCTAATAGGTTAGCTTTAATGTTTTGTTTTTTTGTCAATCAGATTCCCCAAGTAGTCTTAAAGATACGCTTTCATTTGTTGTATATAGAACTGGGGAAATGACGCATGCAAAAGGCGAGAGTGAACAAATGTGTAATTTCACATGAGAACTGATGTCGAGCGAGTTATATTGGTATATATGACAAATCAGATATATTTTTAAATGAATTCACAATTGAAAAATGTGAAATGTAATTTACACGGAACCCAAGACTTGATTGATAATGCACTGTGGAATATCAGTTTGATCGTTCAATTTGTGAGCTTTCTGAGTCACTGCCACTCTTTCTGGCCACTTATCACACCAAGTTTGTTGCCATTTTTAAATCATACATATTAAAAGAAAATAAATTCTTTTTTTTACATTATCATGTCTTTTTTTTCAGGTTCTTTCCCCGCTGTCTGATTCTATCCTGGCAGAAAAGACTGTGACGGTGCTGGATGACAAGGTACAGCACCACCTTGGTTTATTTAGTGTAACTGAGATGCAAAGTCTTAATCTCGGCACTAGTATGTGGTCAAAGAGACCTTCATGAATCATATGCAAGGACCAATTATCTAGCAAGTACCATCTGAAAATGGGGAAAAAAACATTATTCCCAAAACAAGTTACACACAACCCTTTTTTTTAAATCAGATTTTTCAACATTGCATTTATAGTAGTAAGGGGTACTATATGAGCTCACCCAGTAAAAAAAAGACAATAAATGTGATGGAGTAATCTATATTAGGTACCATTGTAGTGCATTATTGTGTATGATGTATTGTCTTATCATGAATACTATTTATTTGCCTCTATAAATTCAATGTATATGCCACTTGAGTACTTTAATCTTACTTGCTCATCATTCTATATATGCTTTTTTTTGCTGCTAAATAAGCCCAAAGAGAGAAAGAAATACTTTAGTCTATTTATAATTTGCTATTATACAGAAGAGTATCATCTTCGCTGAAATAAAATATCTCTTTACCTGTTCTTTCCAGCCAAAGTCATAATGGAAAGCAATCATAAGTCAAAACGGTCATTGACTGACTATAAATTCTCTATGTGTTGGTCTAGGTAACTATCACAGACTTGGGGGTGCAGCTTGTTGCATCTCTGTCCCTCAGTATGACAGCAAGTCCAGGAAATTACCAGGCAATCCAACTAACAACTACAGCCACGGACCTGCTGCACATACCGAAACAGGTATGAGATACGTGCATCTGTTTGGACTCAAAGAGAACAAGCTCAGATACACAAAAGCATAGAAAGCTCACATTCCCATTCGCATCAAGAAAGGGACAACGTCTTAAGCTATCCTTATCTCTAAAGTATTACAACCCTTGGGGTTGTAATAATGGGACTTAAAGAGGGAACATCAGCTTGTTGCTGTCTATTTTACAATCAGTTTCTAATTAAGAGTTAATCATTCCCCAGCTACCGCGAGACAGCCACATTTAGGGCCGCCTGAAGTTCTTCAGGCTTATTTTTCATAATTCTAAACTTCAAATCAGGTTCAAACATACACACGCAGAGAATTACCACATCCATATGACCACATGAATAGTATATCATCTTATCATATTATTATACATTGCTGGGTTACAATTTTGAAAGCTATTCTCAATTCAATAATCACATTGGCAGGAATTATTCCATCAATGCTCATTCAAAATTCTCCTTAGTCCTGTATTTCTATCAAACAATACGCCACATAATAATTTCTATCAAAGTGCCAATTGGATGAGAGGAAATTCGACAGGATGAATATACTGTTCTGATAGTGAACTTTATTAGCATTTATTCATTGTTCTTATGCTTATCTGTTTTATCTATAATGCATAGCTTCCATTGAGCAGCCGCTTTTATCCAAGCCAACTTACAAGTCAGGAACACATTTACATATTAGGGGCAATGTGGGGTTTTGCAAAAAGTGTCTCCCCAGTGTCAAAACAAGCCCCTACGAGGGCTGGAATGCATGTATGGTGGACTGCCTTCAAAAGGTAGATAAAGGTGTGGAATATGGCACATATGGTGGTGACACCTGGTTGGTGTTATGTAAAAGACAGTATATATAGACACTTATGCGTCTAGGAAGGGATTGTTGGTAAGTTTTGGGTCGTGTTTTTAGAATTTTATTTAAAAATAACTACTTGTAAATGGATAAATCTACCCATGCGTGATAAGGTTGCAATAACTTTTGCTCATAAGAGCCTTTTTTTATATATTTAGAAGTACACTACATTTTGTTAAAATTAATAGCAAAAAAAAAAAGAATACTTCAATTCGATTCTGGTCTTGTATGACTGACTCCATGGATTTTAGAGGGTTTTTTTAGATGTCGATTGATAGATGACTATTTTTAGTAGTGGGTTAAAGTAGTGGGTGGCAAAAATGTTGTAATATTCAAACAAGGTTCTATAGAAACAACTCAAGTTAGTGACATAAGCATATAGTCAGGGAAAGACAAGGATCACAGGATTATCTTCTTCATCAGCTAGTGGCTAACTTTGTGTTGCTGAGCCGTCTTTTTAGATTCATTTTAATGCTTTTTGATGGAAAACAATTGTCTGGAAAACAGCAAATGATTAAATCAGTATGAAAGAGAGTAGTTTCAAATCAGAATACTTTTCATACATTATTATCACCTCAAATCACTGTTTTATTGCTCACATAGCCAAAACGTTTTTTTAGATAGACTTAATGAAACAGAGTCCTAATAAATCTTCAAAGTTTCCAGGTAAAACTAACATGACACAACCAGCATACCAGAAGACTGTTGATGTCACTCTGTTTGCTGAAAGGCCACGTGGAAACAACCTTTACTGAAAAAGCCTATTGAGAATAGTGGGTAACAACGCATGGCACTATAACTGTTATCTTTTAAATCCTAAATATCTGTTTCATGATCAATATTTGGTCATATTGATATGATCTAGTAGTTCTCAAGAAATAAACATGCATTAATCACCAAGCTGTGCGTTGACACAAATTAAGGGTGTTATGGCATAGAGGGTTTGTAGCTACAGTAATGTTATTGTGACCTTTTTTAGCTTCAGAGTGGATTCAGTTGTGCTCCATCAAACAAAAAGGCCACTTTGGTCTACAACTAAAATGCCTTGCCGATGCATTGCTCTGACTGTGAAGAATTGTGATCATTGTTATTTTCTTTTCTACTTTAGGAGGCCATGTTCAGCGCGTGGATCCAGTACAGCGACGGCTCAGTGACACCTCTTGATATCTACGATCCCAAAGACTTTCTCCTTTCGGCCGTCTCGCTGGATGAAAGTGTCATCTCTATAACCAATCAGGTTAATACACCACTTTTCCAGAAATTGTGAAGCGTTTCCATCACTGGCTTACTGACTTACTTATTGATGTGGGCGTTTCGTTCCTTTAGGAGCAGCACTGGCCAATCATTGTTGCGGAAGGGGAAGGACAGGGGCTACTGCTCCGGGTTGAGATGGTCATATCTGAGACCTGCCAAAAGTCCAAAAGGAAGAGCGTACTGGCGTCTGGAGTTGGTAACGTCGTAGTTAAATTTGGAGCTAAGAGCGAGGAAAGAGGCGGACATGAGGACGGCGGAGTGTTGGACAACAGTACGAATGAGCAAAGGACAAAAGATGGAGGGGAGTGGAAGGCCAGCAGCGCAGTTGTGGACCGAGAGGAAGGAGCTATGAGGAAGGTAGGGTTACCATTCAGGCCTTATTTCTCTCCATTATCATGAAAACTTCTAAATCTGAATGTTTCCAATGACAGCATGTGGACGAACTCCATAATGTAGTATTTGAATGAATCCACATAAAAAACGTCTCCAAATAAAACTTGACCCGGTGCTGTGTGGCTTTGTATTTGTCAGGTTAGCACAACAACCAAGAGCACAGTAACCCATCGAGCATCCGGGGGCAAAGGAGCGAGCGGCGGCAGCAGCCGAGGCAGCGGTCCCAGTCAGGAGGGGGACTACAGCAGCTTCCCCATTCAAGTGGAGGTTCCAGGAACCGGAAACAGTGAGCTGAGCCAAACCACTAGAGGACTGACAGACCTCGAGATCGGGATGTATGCACTCCTAGGAGTGTTCTGCCTGGCAATACTGGTCTTCCTAATCAACTGTGTGAGCTTTGCTTTCAGGTAATACAGCAAAAATACTTAAATAATAAAGATTAAATAATAATGATAATAAAACACCTTTGCGTGTGAACGATCTTTTGGTCACAACTGACAAAAGGTTCTGTGTGGATCATCATAACAAACACCTGATTCAGTTTTTCCTATGGGCGGAATTTGTTATTTTGATTCCCATGTATTTTGTATTTGGTGGGTTATTCTGACACAAATTGTAAAGTCTATTCCAGATATAAGTTGTTTGCATATTGCATATCAATGTGTGCGAGGATGACTAGCTTCAAGCAATATAAGTTTGATTGTATTCTAAATAGAAATGCAATTTCATATTTTTCACAAATATATTTATCTATTCATACCATAATTTAATATAATTTTCTGCAGTATATATATATATTTGTTTCTCTGCAGATATGCAATCACAGTCATTCATTTTTTTTACTTTCAAAATAATAATAATTAGAGTAAACTATGCTATTATTAATACAGACCAACTTATTTTCCACCTGCAGATACCGACACAAGCAAGTCCCGGTGCTGGAGGCCGGAGGCAACATGAATCATGCCCACGACTGGGTGTGGCTTGGGAATGAGGCTGACCTTTTAGCTGACCACTCTGACCACTGCCAGGGCGGGATGCCCGACGAGTGCACCACCATCATCGACCGGAACGACGGCGGATACGAGGAAAGCAAATACCTGCTCAACGGGGCGGGCAGCACCCTGGTGATGGGTGTGGGCCCCGGTATGGGGACTATCAGTGGGAGTGGTGGCACAGGTGGACACAGGGGCGTCGCCCACGGACAGACCCTCCCCAGGTCAGTTCCGGAACCGCACCAGTGCCTTTCAGCAATCACCGCCGGCGGCAAAGACGTGACTGGCCAAACGGAGCATCTGAATAATTCCCCCCGGGCCACGGCCGCGGCGGCCGCCGCCAAACGCAAACGGGTCAAATTCACGTCCTACGCCACCGTCCTGCCCAACGACCATTCGGGGGGGGGTGGCCCGTACGCCAGCTCTTCCGTTCTGATGACCAACGGGAACGAGGACGATATCAAGTGGGTGTGCCAGGACATGGACCTGGGTCAGTCGGAAATCAGAACCTACATGGAGAGGCTACAAGACAATCTGTGAACGACGGGGGGGAGTAAGACTGAAACAGAGGGGGCAGAGGATAAGCGAGGGGAGGGAGGATGGACAATGAGTACAATTCACCTGTAATGCCTTTGCAATGGATTAATGGAGGGAGAATGAAAGCAGGAACACGAGAGAGTGGTGAAGATGGGACACATTAAGTCATCACTAGCCCACACTAAAAGTAACGGTAGCAAACTTTAAGTCACATGCAGAGTTTGTTTTTTAAGTATTTAGTGAGAAAAAATCTAGTGTAAAAATCAGTCAACCATTATTGGTTATGAATGTTTACTTTCGGAAAAACCAGTTACTCACTGTTTTCATACATTATAAATTCAGGGTATGTTATTTGACTTTATTAAGCAACTACACATCTAAAGAAACTGGTGAGAAAAACTCATTATGTACTGACTTCACAAGCCCTTTTTCTATACTCATACAGTGTATTGGCAACTTCAGCTGTGGCTGTCAAATAATTATTTATCTAGTTGTAATATATATACTTGTCATTTATCCACCATGTCTGCTAAACTGTCACACGTGAGATGACTCAGTTGTCTGGAGAACAGATGTATCTCACAGATATCTGCTCTCACAGACACTGGATCATGTGACTTGTTTTCTTTGGGTATCACATGAAATGTGAAATGTGAAAAAAAAATCAAATGAAAAAAAAAATCCATTTACTTACTGGTGGAGATTCAGGTGATCATGCTCCTCCCTCAGACGATTTTTGTTGCGAGTTTGAAAGTGACACGCCATGAAATAGACTGTTTCTCCCTTGGATCCAAGACAGAGGCATTTATTCTTGCACAATTTACAACCAGAAATGGACCTTAGCCATTTTCTAGGCTTACTTTCTGTTACCTGAACATTGCAGTCATGGACTGCTGTCTCCCCCTGTATTCGAAACCAATCCCGACAGACCCCCTTTCCTCCCTCCTTGTCTGGAAATGGAACAGTTAGGAGCTTTCTGAACTCAAACACATTGTAAAATCTTGTGGAAGGCTGTCTGGAAACAAAAGAGCCGCTGACTCACGTAAAAATGAGGGTTGCTTGGGCTTTGCAAAGCTTGAATGAATACCTGATAAGGCAAAACAAGTTGTGATGTCCGAGGAACTAACAGGAAACGATGAATGATATTGCAAAATACGCAATCGATCGAACTTTTAACATAGAGAACTTTGTTCATGGGACATCTTGTTGATTATTACTACAATTTTATTTTTCCTTTTATTTGTAGTTTTTGATAAATAAGTTTATTATGTTCCTCCTGGTTACGTTTTTTTCCCCCTAACTTAGGAAGATATTCAATTGTAACTTTTTACTTTAGAGATTTATTAAGAGGTTAAGAATATGTGATTCTTTTTTGTTTTTTCTTAGATGCTCTATCTATTTATTTAAATGTACATTCGAGAGGGTGAGGAGGGAAGAAAGGACATGAATCAATAGACCCGCTGGTGAACGATAGCACATTGTAGAAGAATAGGTGCAAAGGAGACGGATCGGGCAGAGGTTGCCTCACCTTCGTTGAGCTCAGGTGACGACTCACGAGGAACCGACAATAAAAGAGAAGAATTGTAAGATTGTTAAGACTGCAATATTTATTTATAAATGTGTTACTGTTTCAAAGTACACTGTATGTTGTAAATAAATAAACATGCTTCAAAGCGCTTGTGAATAAGGTTGCAGGTCACTAGCCAACAACATGGTAATATTTTGTACATTTTACAGTGCAAATACGGTACAGAATACTATCTACCAACACAATGTGAAAGTGATCTCTTTTTCTAAAGATGTTCTTGTGTTTGTTTCAAGTATCGACTTAATTCTTGTCTTTGTACAGGGTAGGAATCAGTTCTCCTCCATTGAGAAATGTAAAAATGGAGGCAATTCATCCATGTGTTACACTTAAATTTGCTTGAGAATGACCAGTCTGAGAGGTTCATTTCACAAAGAGAAAGGCAAACCAAACAAACGTAAGATGTTCATCTTATTTTGTTCTCAAAAATGTCAATTAGGAACTTGGATATCACAGACATCGAGCATTTCTATTGTTAATCATTTTCATTCATACAAAAAAGATGATACAAATCAAAATCACAGCCCAAATAACTGAAATGTGAAAAGGAATACAATAAAGTCTGGACATACCTGAGCTGAATCCAAATGGGGCAACAAAAAATGGGCTGAGCTGCCTTCACCAAAGCAATAGATATTTTTGACTGATTGCTATATTATATGTTCTGGACACATTACTGTATCTAGCCAACTCTAATGTAGTTGCAAGTCAAAAGGAATAGTTGAATGGTTTTGAGTTAGAAGCTTAAAGTGTAAAAGTGTAGCAACGCTCTCAAATGAGAAAACTTTTGACTCTTAACATGCTGTGAGTTCAATCACATTTTACAACCTTGTGCACCAGTTTAACCAGTTTTTAATGTCTAAATTGTCTGGATGAAATTGAGAAATATATATATATATACATACAATGTATATGTATATTTTTTAAGAGATTAGTTTGTAGTTGTGAGATTTTTATTTTAACCCACGAGAAGGGCAGATCAATTCTTTGTAGCTACAAAAGTAATATAGGACCATTTGCTACTTGCTTACAGAACTACTGCTGAAATTGGATACATTTTAAGAGCTTAAGAGTCTATTTTCGTTGTTGTCTTTGCAATTTAATTTAAAAGTGAGATTTATTTATTTTTCAATTCCAAATACATCTGAGTTAACATTTTTCTTAAAGTCATGTCCATTCAAACCTTGACACAGATGGATGGCTTATGTCTTTGGACACTACATCCCTGAAAGAAATCCAATCATATAAAACTCATTTGCAAGAGTTGTTTTACCCTAATGTACATTTTAACTTACACAAGGCAGTTTTCTTACATAATTCTGCAGAGGGGTTCTGAGATTCAGGCAAATTGTTATCAATAATGTTACACTTTGTCACTCTATTTTTATATCCCTGTTAATTCTCAAGAATCTCCGGAAGTTATAAAGTTTTGAAGCGTTTTTTTTATTTCAAACTGCTTATACAATGGGGGGTGTAAATTGTCGTTTTCAGTGTATTGAGCCCTCAAACATTTTAGATGACCCCTTCAGCCGCACTTACTTTAATAATAAAGCCTTTGTGATTTTAGATTGGATTATTTTCATCCCAGTCTCATCAGTAAAGTTAAGCTTAATAGGTATGCTTGCCCGTGTGTCTAAAAGTATCACAGGTCAATATCCCAAATTCTGAAATGGATCAAGAGGATCTGGCTCGTTTCCTTTGAATGGGCGAATTAGTGGAGGTTTGCCAAAATTGCAGACTTTTAAACACGTAATGCTACAGTTGCAAGCTAAGTGGCTAAGACTAAATATCACCAACAAAGCAAATTGAAAAGGTATCATTTTGAAATAATGCAGAAAAAAGATTCGATTAGCCTGTACACTAAATGTGAAAATGAGCCACGCCAAAAATCGTCACCACAATCATTACAGCAGGAATCTCTGTTTGGCATGAATGGTAATTATCTGCAACTGTGCATTTTCCTTGGCGCGTAATTATATTTCTGGGCGGTTTTCAAAGCAACAAATTGATATTTTTCCCCACGCAAAGTACCAATAGCCCCCTAAACTTCCAAGTCAGTAAGTGTAACCATGGTGTTTAAAGCTAGTCATGTACTGTAATTACATATACATTAATATTATATACATTATTCCTGTATATGAAATGCTAACATAAAACATAGAGTTGGCTTCAGTCTTCCTGCAAAGCCGGCACTGGAACAAATTCAAACCTCACATGGTCGTCCACTTACCAGGTCTTTAAGAAAGCTGAAATGGGTCAACTTGCTCTCACATTCTAAAATGCTTTTTTTGGGGTCTCTGAAGCACAAACAAAACGCTGTGTTCCAAAAAATTCGGCGCCTTTAAAGTTGTAACAGCGGATAATGTGTACGCTCTACAGCTCCCCTGGTCACGCACCGCCTAAAAGGATATGTTGACTTTGTCACTTATGTGCTCTTATAAAAGTGGAGGAAAAAGCAAGACTACCAGAAAAATTACTTTCCTTCCCCATGAAATGACAAAAAAATCTATGTACCCCTTTTGTACATTTGGGACACATTTAAACTTATATTGCATCTTTTCAATATGACGTATAAACCAGAAAACATTGAAAAAGCCTTCCATGTGACAGTTAATCCCTGACCCTAAGCATTCATAGGTGATCATAATCGTTGTGCAAGATAATCATTTATTTCCAAAGTGAAATATCTTTTTTTATTCATAACAAAACAAAAAACAAAACACATTCATAAATAATTCATTTTTTATTGAGACGGTGCACAGCAGTAGTTCGGTGAGTGAGCAGTGTAAAAAGAAACAACAAAACCAGGGGTGTCATGGGTATTTCTGATTGTGATGTAAAGAATTCAACCATGTAAGCAATTAGAAGCAATGATTCTACATCTTACAAATCTGTTGTGTGATTTTAGCCGGAAAAACATGGGCATACATGTAGACCATGCCCCAGTGGGAGATTTAATTTCAATTTATTTATTTTTTCTTTCTTTTTTACTATTGTCATTGTTTAAAGATGGTTAATTAAGGCCAATAAAGTCCTATAACCAAACTGAGTACTTTTCACTTTATGACTTTTTCCCACTATATATATTCACTTGTTTAACTAAAAATATAATGTTCTGTTTTCTGTCTTAGTAGTTGATTTAATGCCTGTACAATATATTGAACTATTTATTTAAATCTCTCAAGGAATACTAAAGTATATTTAAATTGAAAAAAGTTAGAATTGATCATCTCCAACTTCTGAGTCTAGATTTGTTTATTGAAATAATCAACACAACTAAGCTATTGTCTGATCAGTTGTATTCATCAAAATGATAAGACAAGGCCTGTGGTTTCATAAAAAATAAATCACAAAATTAATATTCGTATTGTCAACTGTGAATAAATAGGCATGTTATCGAGGCCCGCATAATAGAGGTTGTTTCTTTTATTAGCATACTCAGAGTCAG